TACATTCTATATAGGGAAACAAGGTTAAGGCCATGGCATATGGGCAAGATATTTCTGTTGTGGACCAAAGATTAGAACTGTACAAGACCTACAACATATCTAATGCATTGGTCACAGCGGTCTACCCAAATTTCAATGTTCCTGATGAACATTACAAATTTCTTTGGTCCATCAATAGAAGGACATTGATTCAAGATGTGGATGAAGAGGATAAAATAGATGTGCAGAAAAGTGCTGAAATAGTTACAACACCCTTTTCTCTCTTCTATAACTCCATGATTAAAAGGGAGACTATAAGTAAGTTTATAGTTTTCAAACCAAAGGTCTTTGTACTCATAATAAATAAATACTTAAAAAAGAAATTCCCTAAATAAAAATATTTTCAACCCTTTGCAGATGTGCTCGGTGCCATTATCTATAAACTCCCACGCGAGTTTGTTGTCACAGAGAAGAAGAAGAAACAGGCAAATGACTTTATCTTTGTTGATGAGAAGTAAGTACACAAAAAAGTACATTGTTTTCACTTATTCATATCGACTTCAATATACTAACTAAAGTAATATGTTTTTAGATCGCAACCAATCATTTTCACAATGTGGGATGAATGTGCTAGCATTCAAGGTGTTGAGATTCAGAACTTACTGGAAGCTGGAATATATCCAATTGTTCTTGCTAAGCGTGTTGCTGTGACTACATATCAAGGTGATATTTAGATAAACTAATGTAGTTATTTACAAATTTTACACATTTCCAAAAACACTAAATAAATATAGTTTATTATAGTTATCTATAATTCATTTTATGTACAATCCTGAGAATTAAAGAGTGCATTTTTTTTAAATTTTCTCACGATTTATTTAAGCACATGTTCTAACTAATACAATTCATTATAAACTTGCACAACCACATTCACCCTCATGTAATTATAATAACCCATTATTTAAAAAACAACAGGTTAATAATAAAATTTAAATTGTAAGTTGCTTAACAAACACACGCCCACACATACTTTTACTAATTGAAAATTTTAAAATAGACAAATCTAACTTCAATATTAAGTTAACATCTCCCAATGGGATCCTGACGCTTCCCACTATACTCATGGTGCAATAAAACTCCAGCTATACTCATTTCTCATTCCACAACTCAAGGTTGTGGCCATCAAGCTCTATTACCTAACATTATAAATTTGAAAACAATGTTATTAAAATAACACAATTTGTTAATTCAAAAAATGTCAAGTAATTGAAGAATAACAATATGAAACCTTAAATCCATACACGGATTTCATTAATATAGTTTTAGGAGGAATATATGAATTTTTGGTGATAAAGATGTATATACATGTTCAATTTTAATTAAAGGTACAAGTAATCTATTAGTAACTATTGATAAGCATTGACACCCAATATGTTTACGGTTTTCACTTTCTCTTACCTTCTAAAAAACATATACTTGCACAGTCTAAAAAACACAGCATTAAAATTTTCACAAATTAAGCAACAAAAAATTCTTTCTTCCTTTCTATGAGTATCTTAATGTATTAATCTTGTCTTACATGAATTTGTTTGATGTTTGATTTACTTTATTACTTCAATACATTGAACATATGTGCAGGATTATCATTATCAACAAGATATGACACATGTATAGAGCTATATCCTGATAACCAACATGCTACTGCATTAAAACAATGGTGATTTATACTGAATAGACTTTTATTAACTTATGTACACTATATTGAGGTATAAAATTAGATTTTTTTTGAAAAAGACAACTAATTGTAGAATTTTACTTAATAGGAGATCTGCTAATGCTCAAGCTATTCAGAAAATGAACACCGAACAACTGTACATGGACTCACTTGTTAGGTTTGCACTACCGGAAATGCAATCTAAATCTCATGTCATTGATGTCAAGAGCAGTGTGGACGAGGTAACCTATACTCCGAACAATGAAGAAATTGCTCTTATTTAATTTGTTGACAATAATTTGTTATACAGAAACTTAATTATTTTTTGATCATATAGACTAGGGTGTTTTGGATTTTGAGCACCTTAAGATTTTTGGAAAACGGTTACATTCCGTTTTACATCGGTTGCAATAGCTGCAATAAAGGCATTAACTCAACGATTGAAGGTGTTCATTTTCAATGTTTGAATTGTGGTAACATTAATGGAGTTAGCACCAAGAGGTAAATCTTAGAAGTTTAAATTTCTCATCTTTTATTAATAAAGCACAAAAATCACTAATATCACACAATTGCAGATTCCGATTGAGTGTTGAATTATCTGATGCTACTGGGGAACTGCAAACAAATCTATTCACCAATGAAGTGTACAAGTTGTTACGGATGCTAGAAATTAACATCAATCCAGATTGCATTAACAGTTCTGACTTGAATGATAAAGTCAAGGCTCTCACTTTCATTGTTGCGCTTAAAATAGTGCGTCCTAATATACATTCAAAGGCAAAAAAGAATTTCTCTGTGCTTTCTCTTTCTTTTCCGACAGATATTCCTACATGCAGTGATGCTCAGTCAACTGTTGTGCATGAAAATGTGCTACCAAATTCACCAGAAGGAAAGAGGAAGCTCATAGGAGGCGAGAACAATGACTCACAATACAAAGAAGCACACTTGCCTGACCTCCCAACAATTGCAACAACCTCAGGCAAAAACAAAGGCAAGAAGCACAAAAAATGTTAGATTCAAGCTAATTTAACTATGGGATCTTACTAATGATTATCTATGTATTTGAAACTTATAACTTTGATGCATATTAAATATTTAAATAGTTGATTACTAATAATTAGGAGTATCCTAGATATGACATTTGGATGTAAGCCGATACAATGTACTGTAATGTAAACTTACTACAACTTATACACTATGATAAAGTTAGAAGCACTTTTATATTAATTTAATTATCATAGTAATATAATTTCTTTGGTCTAAAATTTTGTTTTCCTTGTATCTTGTACTATTATTGTGTGTGGTGCCATTTTCATAAACTCAATTTACATCTTGACTTCATTACCATAAATTCTTCACATTTCCTACAGGAAGTACCTTCATTATAATTTGTTGACTTTGCACATTTAAGGAAAAAATATTAAATTCTGTGTCATTGAATTAATAGCACTTCTAATGCAAATCATTCATGCAAATTTTATGAAAATAATAAATCCCTTTTAAAATATATCAAAACATCCTTGCATATTCTGTATCTTTTAAATATCAATTCTACATGTATTCAAAGTGTGATTAGGAGTGTCATTTCTACATACCAATAACATTAATAATTTATGCATGTTATTTAAAAATGTTAAGCATTTTCGCATGTAGTACGTACTCCACAACACATTACAGAAATGTACTCCCGTCACATTACAGCAATCTACAACGGCTAAATTATGGTTAAAAAGTTAGATACTCTTATTAAAGATATGCCAATGTTAGAATTTAATATCACAATTTCTTTAGTCTTAAGATTTTATTTTTTTCTTGTGTCACGTACATAATATTATACTTATTTGTGCCACTACCATACTTCAACTTTTTCTTAACTTTTTGACTAGGAAACTCCAATACTCTCTTATTATTGTCTTTGTACATTTAAGAAATACGTATAAAATAACGTCACACTAAATTAGGAGTACACCTATCCAAATAGACTACACACTAACCAAATTAACATTTATGCAAATTAAATTAAACAATAACTCAAAAAATGTCAACAAGTGTTACAAAAGAAGTTTTATTCCAAAAATTCCATACAATAACATACATGCAAAAAGTCAAAAACTAAAAATTATAAAACTTACAAGGCATGTATATATATTATAGAGTGATTGCACAAAAATTTAGATACGAATTTAGACAACTAATAATAAAATGTTGGGCATTATTCGCACGTAGTGCGCAACCCGCTAGTATATATATATATATATATATATATATATGAAAATATCACAGTAGTAGTTCTTTATTAGTGATATTTTTGTCCTAATTCAAGGTGACTTGTAGGTTTATACTCGGTATTATTATTATTATCATTATTATTGTTGGGATATTGATCCAGAGGCCCAATACCCGGATTAGGAAGGCCCAAGATACCCGGCCCAAGCAACGGGCCCATCACACGATGATAAGATAATCATGGTAGAATTAATGCCGAACGAGAATCGGCCCAAATAAGGGTTGGCCCAGTAAGGAGACATACCGAACGGAGTTCGGGCTATATATCATACTTGGGCCAATTTGACAGCATCTTCAGCATATCCCAACATCCCGTTCGGGCAACGGCCAAACCGCAAGTGGCCAGGTGCAATTAATGCCAGACTGTGACATCAACAAGTGGAAGCATGGATGACCAAGTCGGTGGAACAACGGCCAATCAGCATAGGGCAACCCATGCTCTCCATTAGTATAAATAGAAGGTTTCAAGTCATTGTAAGGGTTAGCATTTCAATACTCAGGCTCTAGAATAGCATCATTACTCTTATTTCTTATATTAAAGCATAGTTTCCGACCTACCGATCGGGAAATTCCTTGTAACCAGATTGGTTAATTAATACAAGTGAGCTTTCGAGTGTTAGTTAGTTCAGATCTTATATTTTTTACACGCTTTGATTCTGTGCCATTCCTGATATATCCAAAGTTCGTGTTAGGCTTTCGGATCTACGGGATTAACCCTCAACAATTATTATTATCATTATTATTATTATTACCATTATTATCATTATTACTATTATTATTATTACTATTATTATTATTGTTGTTATTATTATTATTATTATTCACAAAATACAATTATTATCATCATTTTCATTTCAAAGAAAATAAATTCGAAATAGAAAATTGACAATAGGAATTAAAAATTGTTATTATTGTTATTATTCACAAAAGACAATTATTATCATCATTTTCATTTCAAAGAAAATAAAGTGGAAATAGAAAATTGACAATAGGAATAGAAAAGAGAGCAAAGATACGTATGGGATAGCGTATATGCTGATATGCATATATAGACAGAGAGAGATGAGGGGTCGGGAGGAGTAAGAGAGAGAGAAAGAGAGGGGCGCAATGGAAGGGCAAGATAGGGTTCTGGCCACGGCGCAGCAGATCATGAAGAGCCTCCACACCTCCACCAACACTGATGACATGCTCCTCATCTTCTCCAGGTTCGACAATCGTCTCTCCAATCTCTCCAATTTCATGTCTTCCGCACCTTCCACCTCCACTCCTTCTTCCGCCAAGGCAGCCGAGGCTGACGACTCCTTCGTCGATCGCCGCTTCGAGGAGGCCGAGAAGCTCATCCTTGACGCCTCCGGCGATCCCTCCTCCACTAACGATCTCTACTTGGCCGCCGTTGACGAGATTATTCGCTTGACCGAGGATCTGGATCTGCCGGCGGCGGCTGATGACGCCGTCTTGGACCGTGCCGAGGCCGCTCTTCAGCTCGCTATGTCTCATCTTGAGGATGAATTCCGTGACATCCTCACTCGCAGCCGTGTCCCCATCGACACCGATCGCATCCACACTTCTTCCTTCATCCGCCGCTCCTCACTCTCTTCCTCTTCCTCTTCCGTTTCAGTTTCCGAAATTCCAGATTTCGAGACTGGAACCGATTCTGAAGTTGGACGGGAGGGTCGTGCAAGCAGTGGGAGGTACAATCACTTGAGAGGCCCTAGCCTCGGAGGTATAGAGCTGTCCCTAGATTTGATCACTCCAGATTCCATTGTGGAACTGAAAGAGATTGCCGACCGTATGATTCGATCTGGCTATGAAAAGGAGTGCTGTCAAGTTTACTCCACAGTCCGGAGAGACGTACTGGATGAGTTCATGTCCACTCTAGGCGTCGAGAAGCTTAGCATTGAGGAAGTCCAGAAGATTGAGCCTCGAATTTTGGATGAGAAAATGAAGAAATGGATATATGCTGTGAAAGTTGTGGTCAGAGTTCGTCTGTCTGCTGAAAAGCAACTTTGTGAACAAATTTTTAGTGGATCTGAGTTGACCAAAGAAATATGCTTCATTGAGACTGCAAAAGGATGTGTAATGCAGCTCTTGAATTTCGGAGAAGCTGTTGTCATAGGCAGGAGGTCTTCAGAGAAAATATTCAGAATCCTGGACATGTACGACGCTCTATCTGCTGTTTTGTCTGATTTAGAGGATCTTTTCAGTCACGAGGTAGGGGAAATGGTTTGTAGCGAGGCTAAGGGTGTCTTGGATGGGTTAGGAGAAGCCGCTATAGGGACTTTTGTGGAATTTGAAAATGCAGTTAAAGGGGAGGCTTCCAAGACTCCTATCCAAGGTGGTGAAATTCATCCATTAACTCGTTATGTTATGAATTATGTGAAATTACTTGTGGATTATAGCAACACAATTAATGAGCTTCTACATAATGTTGAGAGTGGGTTGGAATCTGAGAGCTCTGAAGTTGTTGATGATAGGGAGTTGGAGAGTAATTCTCTTTTTGCTAGACGTTTGTCCATACTGATTAAATCTTTAGAAGCTAATCTTGAAGAGAAGTCCAGAATGTATGAGGATAGCGGGATGCAGTATATATTCTTGATGAACAATTTACTGTATATAGTCCAGAAGGTTAAAGATTCTGATCTTCGGAAGCATTTGGGTGATCTGTGGATACGTAAGCGTCGTGGACAGGTTAGACAGTTCGCAACTGGATATCTAAGGGCATCTTGGAGCAAAGTGTTGTCTTGTTTGAAAGATGAAGGTATTGGTGGAAGCTCAAATAATGCCTCAAAAATCACTCTTAAAGAAAGGTTCAAGAACTTCAATGCCTGCTTTGAAGAACTGTATAGGATCCAAACTGCTTGGAAGGTTCCTGATGAACAACTCCGTGAAGAGCTTCGGATTTCTATTTCGGAGAAAGTCATTCCTGCATATAGGTCCTTCATGGGGAGATTTGGCAGTCATCTTGAGAGTGGAAGAAATTCTGGGAAGTACATGAAGTATACACCTGATGATCTGGAGAAATACTTATTGGACCTCTTTGAAGGAATACCTCTCAACCTTCACCACATGAGAAGGAAGAGTTCTTGAAGTGTAGGTCAATTTTCTGTTTCCTCAAAGGATAAAAACTAAAAAAGAGAAAAAAATCATGTTTTCCTTTTGCTGAATATCTGTAATTTTACCCATCCTGTTTAAAAGAATGAAAGCTCATCTCTTTGATAGTTACATTGATTGTATAGTTGTTGTACTAAAAGAAAGAAATCATACAAAAATTTGATGGCTATTTATAGTTTGCAAACAAGAATACATTTATAGGCACACTAATTAGATAAAGATTAGGTCATCCTGAGTAGCAAAAGTTTGCCTGTCAATTTTCTCATGTTACACATTAAAATATGAAATTGTCTTTGCAGGTCTCCATCCTATTGAATAAATTATGAAGATTGTTTCCATGAGGGATAACATTCTTAAGCATGCAAAAAAATTACATTGTGCAATTAATTTGAAAAAAAAAATCAATTCGTTCATGAGTTAAACTTTAAGTTGTTAATACACTGGAAATAGCACTTCATTTCTTGCCCTACATGATGGCAGGGGTTTGGTACAACATTTAAGATTTTTTTTTTTGATGGTACAACATTTAAGATTTAAGACGGTGCTTTGAGTTTGGCAACATTTATTTGGTCAAAAACACTTATTCTGGTTACTTTTGGTTATTCTAGTGATAAGCAAAATATCATATAAGGTTACCAAACGGGGCATAGACTAAAAAGCTTGGTTAGCTAGTGGTTGTTTTAACTTTATACTCGATGAATTTTATTACTTTTGGGTTCAAGGTTTCCAAAAGCAACAATCTATGATAATAGCTATATTTAATTTATTACTTGGTATTTAAAAATGAAATAATTCAACTTAAATACTTTATATAGGTGTTATGACTTATGTTTAGGGTTGATGATAAAAGCATCAGACAATATACTTTAAAAGTCAATGCGTAGTGTGAAGGAATGAACCTTTTTTATGTGGTGACACGTTTTTTCTTCATTTATAATTAGTTAATGTCATTTGACTTCTTGGCCACACCCTGCCTTCAGTTGATTATTGTGCTTCTATGGATTAAAAATATTACTCCAAAGTGGTCACATGTACTGATCATCAAAATCTTAAAGAATAAAGATAAGACTAGGGATTTTTTGTGTAATATAGAGCGTGTTTGGTAATACGAAATCGAGCTGAAGTGGTTGAATTGACTGATTTTGTTGATTTAAGAAAAAATCATATTTAAAATATATTTTATAAATAAAATAAAAGAAAAACTTTATATGTAAAATAGTTAAAATGGTTGTCTATAGTAACTTAAGAAGTGAATTATCAAAATAGGATCAAAAGTCACTCACCCTACAAATAGGACCAAAAAACAAACTATGTTTTCATAGGACTAATATGTGTCTTGGACAAATATACCCTTATAGCTATTGAAATATTTTAATTCATAGTAAAATAATAAAAGATAATAAAAATTCATAAAAATACTAAAAAATTAATAAAAATGTTTTGATAATAATAATTTATTTTTTTTAAAATACAAGTTATTTTTTTAAAAAAAAATTAAAAACTCAAAAAATAATCACCGCCGCCTCAGAAGCAATACCTCCAGTCACCGGGGAAAAAAATGCCAAATTCATTACGAATGCCATATTTATGACAGAAAACAATGAAAATGTTGGCATTCTCAAAGAGAAATATGCCATTTTTTTGGCATTTTCAGGAAAAAAATGGTAGTTTTTAGAAAAAAAAAACATTTTTTTCACCGACGGAGGTGGTGGTGCAGGGAGGTAGTATAGGTGGTGGGAAAGACATCCATATTTTTTAAATTTTTTTATGGAGTTTTACTATTTTTTTATTATTTTTTTTAAAAATCATAACTTTTTTTTGTATTTTTTAATTTAAAATATTTAATAAAATCTTATTATTATTTTTCTACAATTTTTTGAATTTGTTTTGAATTTATTATGAATTAAACATTTAATTATGACGTTTGACTATTTTTAACTCATATTTAAAGGAAGGGTAAGAATGAAATGAAAAAATAAGTATGTTTCCAATAGTACTAAGATCGTCCTATTTGATAAAAGAACATAGCAAGTCCTATCTTGAGTTTTTGTCATAGTTTTAATTATATTTGGAGTAATTTCTATAATTTCAGCTAATACAGACAGAAAAGTAATTGCAAGCTTACTTTTTTTATTATTACTGATGGAGTATATGGCCCAGGAACCCCCGACTCATAGACTCCTACTATTCTGATGGAGGCCCAATAGGCCCAGGGAGCACAGCAGGCCCAAAACACAGCGCCCAAGAACTGAGCAACCCACGTAGCACACTGGGAGTGTCTTCGGTCCCTTGGCCGAAAGCTCCAAATTCTCACAGGATGGCCAACTCAAGCAAACAAAGTTACTAGGAGAAAACAGCGAAAATCAGTAGCCCTCGGTACCCAGAGCCCTCGGCACTAAGGCCCCCCCGGTACTAAGAGCCCTCGGTTAATCATCTGCAGCCGAGGTCAGCTTTCTCGACACAATATCCTCTCCACATGCGCCTGAATCACCGTACCAAGTACGACGTCACATCCAACAGCCGCATTAAATGCGGCCACATGCGACTGCCAGCGCCAACCAGTTGATGTGACCCCTCGACCATTGGATGCTTGACACGTGTCCCTGTCTCACATTTATTATTACTATAAATAGCACCCCATTTCCCCCATTGTAAACCACGCTTAATACATATCGAATATACACTCTCTCTCTTACTTATTTGCTCTGACTTCTCTCTAGTTATTCTCCGCAATAACCCCTCGTTGAGAGGTCGAATAATCAAGTGAGAAACCCTCCCCGTCGCCAAACACAAAACACCTAGCCAAAATGGTGAGAACAACTCGTGCCAACTCCAAGAACGTTGAGGACAGGAACCTGGCCCTCGGCGAAGTCGACGTCCCCGAAGCCTCTAACAAGGCTCCCGGGGGCGGCGTCATCGCCGGGTTGGACCAGACGGCTGTCGACCTACGCCATCAGATTCAACAGAATGCCCCCGATGCCCGCCTCAGCATCGAGGCCAAGAAGAAGGACCGGAGCGAGAACCAAGTTAGCCCTCCGGTCATCACTATCGACGTACAATCGGCGTTTTCCGCCTTCATCCAGACGCTCACCCAGAACCCGGGTGCCTTCGGCACACTGGTTCCCCTCCAACCTCAGGTCGGGGAAAATATCATGCCTCCCCCTCATCCACACGCCCTCAGGAACCCTATCCTCCGGATTGGGAACGTCGAGGGGGTCGTGGCCCGAGATACGGCCTCCCAGGAAGTTCAATCCCGGGACTGCCACAACGTGAACAAAGAACAATCCCGGACCTCTGCCCTCGAGAGACTCGGAGGGGCGCAAGACCGCCGAGGGGTCCAAGACTGCCTTAGGGGGAAGGTGTTCCAGAGGCCTCAGGAAAGTGGCGGATCCGTCTCCAGGGCTAATGAAAGACGTCCCCCTCAGGACAAGGGCAAGGCACCTCTCCATGCCAACGACGCCCGTCACCAAATCAACCAGGCCCACTCGGCCCGTGTCAATTCGCAGGAGGCGGAGGCCCTCCCGAAGGACCCCCGGGACGAAATCATTGCGGCCCTCTAGCGCCGGCTTGACGAGATGGAGGCCACCAAAGCACACGCCGCCACTTCTGCCCCCCATGCAGATCTGAAGTACGAGGCCATGTTGGCCAAGATGGAGGAAATGCAAAAGAAAATAACCGAGGGCACCGGGGAACCCACCATACAACTCCGAACCCGGACGCCATTTACCCCAAGGGTATTGGCGGCCCGGATCCCGGAAAAATACCGAGGGCAGCTCATCAAGCCCTACGACGGAAAAACTGACCCCCAGGAGCACTACAGCAGATACCAAAACAGTATGATGATGGTGGGGGCATCAGATGAGTATTTGTGCCGCTGGTTCCTCTCCACCTTAGAGGGGCCGGCTTACGAATGGTTCAATCGATTGCCCGAGGGCTGCATTGACTCATGGCAAGAACTCGCCCAACGATTCTTGACACAATTTGTAGGAAGGTGCCGCAAGTGAAAACACTTCTCCCACTTGCTGACAGTGAGGTAGAGGAAGGAGGAGACCCTTCGGGACTTCTTGGAGCGCCGGAGAACAGAGGCTGATAAAGTTGATGGCGGTGACGATGGGACCCTCCCTGCCCTCCTCCAAACAGTACTCCGCCCCGGAAACTTCTCAAGGAGCCTCATCATCGACCCCCCCCCCCCCCCCCCCCCGCGATTATATATGGGCCCTACAGCGGGGGGACAGGTATGCCGAAGCTGAGGAGGTGGAGTAATGCCATCACAACCCCGATCAGCAACGCCCTCGGCCAGACGACAAAGGCAACCGAGGGCTCCCCGTAATCAACCCAAGGATTGGCACCCCCCGGTGACCGCCCCCGGCACGGCTAAGCCAAGCCCGGGGGAGGTTACAAGGGGAACCCGAGGGCTTGGGCACAACATGTTCTCCTGGAGCACCCTCGGACACCTTTGACGCACCCCGTCAGCGTCATCCTCGACTTCGCTGAGGAGAGGGGCCTGGTGGAGCGAGATTCTCGCGCACCCCCGGAAGTGTATGCCATCAATCTAAACTACCCCTACTGTCGCTTCCACCGACATCAGGGGCACAAAACCGATGACTGCCATCAGCTGAAGATGGCTATCGAAAGGTTGATACAGGCGGGCCATTTTCCCAATTTTTCCAGGGCCCTCAGCAACATGGCCCCCCTCACCAAGGGCCACCTCGAGGGCACCCTGCGAGAGAAAACGCATGGGTCAACCCCAACACCATCCCCCTCGGCAAGAAGAGGGAGATTGGGAACCTGGAAGAAGAGGAGGAAGAGTACCCTCGGTACCAGGAAAAGAAGCGCCACATCCTCATGATCACTGGGGGCAATACCGAGGGTGACTCTACCAGTCAACGAAAGAAGTGGGCGCAATCCCTTTACGTGGGGGAAGTCACTCATATGCCCCCGGTAAAGCGGCTGAGGGAGGAACCCATCACCTTCACTAACGCTGATCTCCCCCCGGTGTCCTCCCCACAAAGGGATGCCCTCGCGTTGACACCATCACCGGAGCTGTGGAAGCAGAAGAAAGGAGAGCGAGGGCTGAACCAGCCGAGGAGGTAGAAGACTTTGCGCTCGATCCGGCCAAGCCGGAGAGAGTCGTGAAGATTGGAGCCAAGCTCCCCGAAGACTTGAAGACCGGCATCATCAGCGCCCTCCACACCTACTCCATTGTTTTTGCATGGGGGCCGGAGGACATGCCGGGGATCAGCCGAAGGGTCATCACCCACCACCTCTCGGTGGACCCTTCGGCTAAACCAATACAACAACGGAGGAAGTCCCTCTCGGCCGAGAGGAGGGAATTCGTGAAGAAGGAGGTCGCCATGCTCCTCTCCATCAAACACATCAAGGAGGTAAAATACCCCTCATGGCTGGCGAACGTAGTCCTCGCACAAAAACCGCCCTCATTCCGCATGTGCGTGGACTACACGGATCTCAACAAGGCGTGTCCCATGGACCCCTTTCCTTTGCCGAATATTGATCAACTTGTAGATGAGACCGCGGGGTGTGAAATCATGTCAATTTTTGACGCATTCCGCGGGTATCATCAAATTATTATGCATGAGGAAGACGCTGAAAAAACAGCCTTCATGACTCCCGAGGGCATGTTCTGCTACCTTGTCATGGCCTTCGGCCTAAAGAACTTAGGCGCCACCTACACCCGCATGGTGAGCAGGGTCTTTCAAGCTGTCCTAGGGCACACCATGGAGGCATATGTTGACGACATGATCGTCAAAAGCAAGCAATCAGCAAGCCACGCTGACGACCTAAGGGAAATCTTCACCATCATGCAGAAGTTCAGCCTTCGCCTAAACCCGAAGAAGTGCACCTTCGGCGTACAAGGGGTAAATTCTTGGGCTACATGGTGAGCCGAAGGGGTATCGAGGCCAACCCCTAGAAGATCCAGGCCATCATCAACATGGAGCCCCCACGCAACGTGAAGGAGGTCCAATGATTGACGGACCGCCTGGCAGCCCTCAATCGCTTCCTATCCAAATCGGTGGAGAAGTCCTTACCCTTCTTCCAGATCATGAGAAAGACCGCCGGTTTCCAGTGGACTTCAGAGTGTCAAGGGGCTTTCGAGGAACTGAAACGGTACTTATCTTCACCCCTGATGCTCTCTGAACCCAAGGTGGGGGAGACCCTATACCTTTACCTGGGTGTTAGTTCGGCAGCCATCAGCTCAGTACTCATCCGGGAAGAGGATGACATCCAACATGCCATCTTCTATGTTAGCAAGACCCTCAGGGAAGCAGAACTCCGGTATTCCCCTGTGGAAAAAACGGTGTTGGCCATCGTGTGGACTGTAGAGAAGTTGGGCCATTACTTCCAATCTCACCCGGTCCAGGTCCTCACTCACCAACCCCTCGGCGCTTTGATGAGGAGCCCCACCAGCTCCTCCCGGATGGTAAAATGGGCTGTCTTCCTGAGCCAATACAACATCGACATCCGTCCTAGGCCCGCCATCAAGGGCCAGGCCCTAGCGGACTTCGTGACGGAGTGCACGACAAGATCAGCCACGGACGAGGAGCCCTCGGCCCCCTCGGACGATTGGTGGACCCTCTACACCGATGGCTCCTCCGCTGTCAAAGCATGTGGAGGAGGGGTGGTCCTCATCTCACCTGAAGGCTTCCGGGCCTATTACGCAGTCCGCTTCTCTTTCAAAGTCTCTAACAATGAAGCCGAATACGAGGCCTCCTCTGTGGCCTTCGGCTGGCGGCTAACATGAAGGCCCTACAGATCCACGTAAAGTGCGACTCCAAATTAGTTGTCGGCCAAATTTACGGGGAGTACGAAGCCAAGGAAGGGAGAATGAAGCAGTACAAAGAAGCGGCCAAGGAGTTGCTTAAGATATTTGAGGCACACTCTTTTACTCAAATACCGAGGGCTCAAAACTCCGAGGCCGACATTTTATCAAAGCTTTCAGCCGAATCCCCTGAGCATATCTCAAAGATTGCCAAGATCGAAGAGCTCATCCTCTCCAGCATACATGTTAGCCCCATCATGCACATACAACAAAGGCAAGAAGACTGGATCTCAGACATTGTCGCCTTCATCACCACGGGGCAACTGCCCGAGGATGAGGCCCGTGCCAAGCTAGCAAAGCTGAGAGCTCCCAGCTACACTATCGAAGACGGAAGGCTTTACAAAAGATCGTACAACGGGACATTACTTCGGTGCCTTCATCAAGATGAAGCCGAAGTTGCGATGGAGGAAGTGCACAGTGGCACTTGTTCAGCTCACCAGGGACCCTTCTCCATGTCCCGAAGGCTACCAATCCAGGGCTACTTTTGGCCTACGATGGCCTGGGATTGTGCAGATCTCGCCCGAAGGTGTACCGCATGCCAACACTTCCAGAAAGCCCCCGGCAGGCCAACGGTCAACTATGCCCCCATCAGCACATCCATACCCTTCGCTCGATGGGGCATAGACCTTGTGGGCCCTCTGCCGAGGGGTACCTCCAACAACGGGTACATCATCGTCGCCATCGACTACTTCACCAAATGGGTGGAAGCTGAGCCCCTCGCCAGCATTACAGAGGCCAGGTGCCGTCATTTTGTTCTCAAGAACATCCTCACAAGGTTTGGCGTCCCCGAGCAAATCATCTCCGACAATGGGACTCAGTTTGAGGCAGCCCCCTTCTGTGCCCTCCTAGAGGCGTGGGGCATCAAACACACCTTCTCATCCGTTGCCTACCCTCAAGGCAACGGTCAAGTGGAGAACGCCAACAGGACCTTGCTCGAGGGCCTAAAGAAGAAACTGGAGGCCGAAGGGGGTGGTTGGGTAGGAGAGCTCCACAACATCTTATGGGCCTACCGTACCACCCCTCGGCGAGCAACAGGCGAGACACCCTTCTCCCTTTGCTACGGATTTGAAGCTAAGGCCCCCACTGAGGTAACTCTTCCGACCCGAAGGGTCACACAATATGACCCCGAGGTCAATGACGCCAATATGGCCCTCGACCTTCACCTTATTTCAGAACGTCGAGAGCAAGCCTTCATACGCGCGGAAAACTACCGAAGGCAAGTGAAGAGTTACATTGACGCCAAAGTCCGCTCCCGGGAATTCCAATTGGGGGATTATGTTCTCCGAAGAAGGGAAGCTAGCCAACCAACCGAGGGCGGAAAGATGGCACCAAAGTTCGAGGGCCCCTACATCGTGGTGGCCGTCATCAAACCAGGAACTTACAAACTAAAACGCCCCAATGGGACTGAGGTCCCTAGACACTGGAATGTACATCACTTAGTTAGATTTTATCAATAACATCAGAGCGGCCAAGCCCTCATAACTAGTGAATGTATTATTTTGCGGCCCAAGGCCTCCAATTTTTGAAGAATGAAGGCATATTGAAGACACCAAGAACATGGGACAAGACTCTTACGAGCGGCCAAGCCCTCATATCAGCCCCTGGCCCAAGGCCTTATCACAAGCAAGAACCCTCGGCACCAAATGCCGAGGGTAGACAATACTATCACCTACAACAAGGAAGAAAACACCAATTGTCTTCAATAAAGACCCCTCGGCAACAGTGCCGGGGGCATACACTACTATCGATTCTCAACAAACGAAAACAAGAAAAAACACCAAGTGTTTTCCAAAGAAGAAACACCAAGTGCCGAGGGTAGACACCCCAATCACCTACGACAAATGAAGAAAAACACCAAATGTTTTTACAGAAGACCCCTCGGTACTAAGTACCGGGGGCCGTATACCGGAACAAACACCAAGTGTTGTTTCTAAAGCCGTACCCCTCGAGGACGCATATACCGAAGGCGCCACCTATCGGTGCCGGTAGCACGTAGTGCCCCCAGCCATTAAATCTACAAAGTTGGGTGCCTCCGGGAACACCACCCTTCACCGAGGGATCTCTTACTCAGGATACTACAAATCGAAGGGTCTATTCACCATGAAATATGGAAAATGTCCCAAGCCCTAGATGGTTGGCCCTCAGCCAACCCATCATGCAACGAAGGCCAAGCTATCCAATACAACTAAGAGAAGGCGTAGGCCGAAGGGCAGGTGACAAGCAACACTTGGAAAAATTTTCTAAGTCCTAAATATCCTGGCCCTCGGTCAAGTCCTCGGACAGCCGAAGGGGCTACGCAGCCGAAGAATCAGTAAAACAACACTTAGAATTTTTTTTGCTAAGTTCTACATACTTGGCCTTCGGTCAAGTATTCTCACGCCCAGGGGGGCAAGTGATCGAAGGTGTGATACTGAACAACACTTAGAGAAATTTTTCCTAAGTCCTGAATGCTTTGCCCCCTGTCGAGCCACCGGTCAACCGAAGGCACTCCTACGACAAGACTCTCACATTCACCCGAAGGCTCCTATCTCATACAACCACACTTAGAAATATTTTCTAAGTCCTAAATATTTTTGACCCTCGGTCAAATCTCCATGCAACCAGAGGGGCCACACGGTTGAAGGCTTGGTGAAACTACACATGGAAAATTTTTCTAAGTCCTAAACATTTTGCCCTCGGTCAAACCCCCATGCATCCCGAGGGGCCACTCAACCGAAGGCCTGATGGGAGGACAACACTAAGAAAATTTTTCTAAGTCCCAAACAACTGACAACCTAAGCATCAAAGTACGAGGGCATTCATTCACAAGGCATAATTAGAAGGCATACATTTCACAAAGAAAGGCGGAGACATACATTCAAAAACAAAACATGTTATATACAAAAGCCCGGAGGCATCAATTCACCCAAAACACGGGGCAGGATGTTCATAAGAGCCGAAGCCAAAAGTTGAGCAATGTGATTACAAAAATTGTTCAGGGTACAAATTACAGAATGGGAGCTACAATGTCGCCCCCGTCAACAGCTTTTGAAGTGGCCTCGCCTTCGGCCTCATCCCCGTCACCCCCGAGGCCGCACTCCCTTAGGGTCTCCGAGTCTTCAAGCATTGGCCTCTCTTCGCCTTCGGGGAGGGGGATCCTGACGTCTGGTTGCCAAGGGGGGAGGCCATAAGCCTCGGGCTGGAACTCCTCCGGCGAGAGTTTGAAGTGCCTGGCCAGCTTTCAGTATATGAGGCGCTGGGTGAAAAACTCCCCGCCTTGATAGTAGGAGTCACCCTTCTCAGCAAGCCACATTTTACCGGGGCCTCTAACCCAAGCATCCACTGAAGCCTCCACCACCGAGGACAGCCACTCCTTCTCCTCCTCTGCTTTCCATCCCTCGGCAAGAAAGCCAGCTACAACATCCTCCCGGGCTATGGAGATGGCCTCTTCTTTAGCCACGCGGGCTTCCTCAGCAGCAACGCGGGCGGCTTCGGCAGCAGCCTCCCCGGCCTCAGCCAGGCCCTCATTCTTCCCCTTGGCCCTCGTAGTTTGCACTCGCTGCTCTAGGCTATCAGTGGCCAAGCGGAGGGAATCCTCGGCCTCAGCCAGCCTCTTCCTAAGGCTGGCAGCTTCCCCTTCGGCGACACCCTTCGCCTCCTTCATATGCTCCACCCTTCGGAGGTGCTCACAGAGGCCCATGAAGGTCTACAGTCAGCAAAGATAACGGTTAGACATGGTGAACACAGTACGTAAAAGCAAAAGCAAATACAAAGGGAAAAGAAGATCGTGACTCACGGAGGCACTGCTCAGCAGAATCTTGGCCTCGAGGGAGCCCTCGTCCATCCTAGCAAGGGCCAGCCGATTGGCCGAGGGCAGCATCTGGCTCATCAGCGCCGAGGGGTTGAGGCTGCCCTCCAGTACAGATGCCCCCTTCGGCACTATCGCCTCCAACTTCTCCCGGCCGAAGAAGTCCTGGTTGATGTGCTCCTGAGGGGTGGGACCGGGGGCGTGCCCCTCGTCCACAATGATGACAACGTCAGCGGCCGGCTACTTGTCGGGGACCTTAGCTTTCAGCTTCTTGGCCGGGGGCTCGGTCCCCTTGACATCGTTCTTCTTCTTCAAGGCCCCAGCGCCTTTGGGCCCCCCGGCGCCAGCACCGGCAGTAGCAGCTTGGGAGGACTCCTCCCTGGCAGAAGTGCCCACTGGACCCCTCTTTTTCCCCTTGGCATTCTTCAGGGCGAAGAGAGAGCTCACGTCCATGTTGCTACCTGCAAAAATAAGACACAGAATGGTTAAACCGAAGGGTATCAGTTACAATGACATAAAGTAAAAAAAACGAAGGAAAATTCTCTAAGTACAAAACGCATAACCCTTCGATAATCACCTCCGGCTCCTTTGGAAGACGCAATCCAAAGGGGGGTATCTTTCATCCGATGAGCCCCTCGGCCTAAACTGCCGGAAGCCAAGCTTGAACAGTTCCTCAGGGAGAGTGACATCTTTGATTTTAACTTGCTTATCGGACCCCTCTGGTTTTTTGGCTAGTATCCTGCCATTCTTCTCCAGGGCCGCACTCCCTACCTTCGGATGACGCCGGAAGCTATTGCGAAGCGGAGCCGGAAAGGGGTTCTCCTCCAAGCGTATGTAACAGAACCGATCCTTCCATCCCTTATGGGACGAAGGCACATCATCGAAGAGCCTGAACTCCGGTACTTGCTGCAGGTTGGAAAAGCCCTCAGCGTTCGAATGCCCCCCCCCCCCTCCCGGCACAAGTTGAAGGACATGAAGAATTGTTCGAGGGTAGCTGGAACCCCTCGACTCCGGCACAATGAAAGATAGCCGGCCACATAAGAGTGGCTGTTGGGCGTTAGCTGACAGGGGGCCAGCCCCACGAATCTCAAGTACTCCAACAGAAAAGGGTGGAGCGGAAACTGAAGCCCCATCTCCACTGACAGGGTGTGAACAGCAAAGCAGCCCTCGGGTGCGTATCGCAACAGATCATCGGCCCCTGGCTCCATCACACGTGCCGAAGGGCCAACCAGGATTTGAGTGGCTTGGTACTCCACCGGGGACGCCCTCGTCTTCAACTCTAGGGCGGCGGTGTTCAGGAAGGAATGACCCTCGGGTATGCCTACTGGCCGCCCGACGTCCATGGCTGCTTGTTTTTTCTTTGGAGCAGCCCTCGTCTTCTTCTTTTTCCCGGGAGCCACACTGATAGGCGTCGGGTTCAAAGGCCGGGAGGTGCTGGCTTCCCCGACACCACGAGGGGGAAGAATAGCGACAATCACCCTCCTCCTCTCCTCCTCCTTTTCCTCCTCAGCAGTCTGCACAGCGAGGGCGAGCTCTTCATCCTTGTTTACCTGTTCGAAGTCCTCGGCTTCGACCTCGGCCCTGAGGTTCTTCTCCACCTCCATGGCCACAACAACATCACCACCTGCCGAAGACTCCTCGCTCGAAGGCTCAATATCGGAGTAGGTTTCCGCCTCAACTGAAGGCTCCCTCGAAATGTCTTGAGAATCACTTTGTGAAGACATTTTGATACTAAACCAAGGGTCGGAGGGAAATCCTAAAGGCTCTAAGCTACACACGCTTAATCTAAGGCCGGGAAGTGAAGGGAAAGTGAAGTATACAAGAATTTCCGAGAGCGGAGCAATAACTGACCTCTGAGAGTTGGGTTTGACCGAAGGCTGGAGCTTCTCTCTCTAGAAAATTCGGCAGAGTTTCGCTACACTGAGATCGCACAAGAGATAGTGACCCTGGCCTTGGGGTATTTATAGGCACCCGGATCCGGGCTTGCGCCTGAAAACCGGGCCTTCGGTGGCAAATTCATCATTACTCGCCGACTTTCCGCCCAATCAGTAGCATCCGCCCACAGGCAGCCAGTGGATACGCGCCACGTGGAAGCCCCCCCAACGGCTATATTTTTGACGTTAGATATTCCAACGGCTCTATTTACAACGGCTATATTCTGGGAACCAAGCCCACGCCCTCGACAGACCACTCCTTCATCAACCAGGAAACTAGCCCACGGGCTTTCTCCTTCACTCCACTTCATCAAGAGGAGCTCTCGGGTACACCTACCCAGAGATGCTCCCGGCTTAGGCCCCTCATACTATATCACGATTGCCTTCGGGCTCACTCCTCTAGAAGCCCACGGCTTCATAACGGGCACACCCCTCGGGAACCCTCAGCCCTCAAACACATCGAGGGCCACGTAACCCCGGGGAGCACACCTTCATCAACGATAACCCCCGACTACGCAACAAGGAACCCCTCGGGGCACCACAACCCCCCACTTGTAAACAAACAAGGGACCCCTCGACAACACCGGAAATATCATCCACATTCATCGCGCCCTCATTCTCATAATTTGGGGGATCCCCCTTCGGCATCTCTCAGGATAACAACAGGGACCCTTCGGCAAATCAACACACGCACCTTCAGACAGGGATAGCCTTTGGCAAAAATCATTGCCACTCATTTCAAACCGGGATTTCACCTTTTCGACTCATCATTGGGGGAATTCGGTGCACTCATTTTCCCTAATTGGAATTTTTTCCCATAGGGTTTTTTCCAATGAGGTTTTTAACGAGGCATCCCCCCAAAATGAAACGAAAAGCGTCACCCCTCGGCTTTATATTGCAAGCAGGCACTACTCTGCTCCTTTTCACCACTTTGCAAGTGCCTCAAGGAGTGGGGGACTAGAGGACCCCTTCGGGAAAATCTCAAAATACAAAAAATGTCAAAAACTCCCACAACAACGAGCATGATCCCTCAAGTCCCGGAAGGTGGGTAACTGAGGGACTGCCCTCGGCTGAAACATGCACACAACAAACTACTCACAAACTTTACAAACTACAACGGAACAACACCAAAGGACAAACACAGATTACTCATTTTCCCTCAAGTACCTTTCTGCAAAAGGAGTGAGGGACTCCTGATGGAGTATATGGCCCAGGAACCCCCGACCCATAGACTCCTACTATTCTAATGGAGGCCCAATAGGCCAAGGGAGCACAACAGGCCCAAAACTCAGTGCCCAAGAACTGAGCAACCCACGTAGCACACTGGGAGTGCCTTCGGCCCCTTGGCCGAAGGCTCCAAATTCTCACAGGATGGCCAACTCAAGCAAACAAAGTTACTGGGAGAAAACGGCGAAAATCAGTAGCCCTCGGTACCCAGAGCCCTCGGCACTAAGGGGCCCCCCGGTACTCAGAGCCCTCGGCTAATCATCTGCAGCTGAGGGCACCTTTCTCGACACAATATCCTCTCCACATGCGCCTGAATCACCGTACCAAGTACGACGTCACATCCAACAGCCGCATTAAATGCGGCCACATGCGACTGCCAGCGCCAACCAGTTGATGTGACCCCTCGGCCATTGGATGCTTGACACGTGTCCCTGCCTGACATTTATTACTACTATAAATAGCACCCCATTTCCCCCATTGTAAACCACGCTTAATACATATCGAATATACACTCTCTCTCTTACTTATTTGCTCTGACTTCTCTCTAGTTATTCTCCGCAATAACCCCTCGGATAAGCTACCCCCCGGGTACAGTATCCATCAATTACATAATTGGCTAAAGGGTCAAATAGGTCTCTCGTCCTGTAAGCTCAATTCAGTCCCTGAACTAAAAAAAGATCCAATTCACACCCTGAACCGGCAAAAAAAAGTTCGAATTTCATTTTAAAGGTTAAACAACCGGTAAAAAAAGGTTCAATTCACACCCCTAAACTATTAAAATATGTCAAAATTGCAATAAATCGAAAATAAAAAACAGAAACAATTAAAAAATTAAAAAAATGACTGGTTGTTTACCCTTAAAAATAAAATTTGAACCATTTTTTATCGATTCAGGGTGTGAATTAAACATTTTTTGGTTTAGAGACTGAATTGAGCTTACAGGACCGATACAAGAGGCTATTTGAACCTTTAGGCTTACATAATTCAACGCGCGAAATTAAAAGGTGCATGTTTGATAAAAAAGTTGATTGATAAACTGTGATATGTCGAAAAACAAGACTACCAAACGGCCTCATAGTCATTTTGTCACGAGTATTTGATAGAAATTGTTGATTTTTAAGGGCAAGTATAGTACGGAGTAATCATTTTCACAGAGGTTCGGATTATTTACAAAATATTAAAAATCACTGATTTCATTAGACGTCTAGATTACCGGATAGATGGGTCATTGGACTTTACCTATCATTTTTGAAACGAATAAGTGTCATACACTATCAAAGTAGATTACCGGATAGATGGGTCATCGGACTTTACTTATCATTTTTGAAACGAATAAGTGTCATACCTATCCTGTTTAGAATGTTATTACTTCATAGCTACTTTGATAGTGTATGGGTAATATTTTGGGGATCTTTGTGGCAAGGGAAACTCCTAGGATCTCTCACTCATTTTTTTTTTGCAGATGATAGTTTTTTGTTTTTCAAGGCCCGAAAAGGAGAATGTGAGACTATAAAAAAACTTTTGCAGATGTATGAAGGTTGTTCTGGGCAGATGGTGAACTATCGGAAATCTACACTAAAATTTAGCCCAAACCTGGATGATGGGAGGCAAAAAATTGTGGGAGATTGTTTGGGAGTGAAAACGGAAGGGAACCTCAGCTACTTGAAAGAAAGAATTATCAATAGGGTGCGGAGTTGGAATAATAAATTTCTTTCCAAGACGGGAAGAGAAATTTTACTCAAAACAGTGATACAGGCTATGCCGACTTATGCTACATATGAATGTTTTGAGATTGAGGTGATCATGAACGACTACTGGTGGTGTGGAGCGGGTCAAAATAAAAAAGGGATTATTTGGAAAACCTGGGAGTCACTTTGTATTCCAAAGCAGAAAGGAGGTTTGGTGTATAGATCTTTGAGGGAATTTAATCTAGCCATGTTGGGCAAGCAAGCTTGGAGATTAATAAAGTTCCCGGAGTCGCTGGTTGGAAGGATTTTAAAGCTAAATAGTTCCCTAATTCTTCATTTTTTCATGCAAAACTAGGAAATAATCCTTCTTTCATCTGGAGCAGCATTATACAGACACAGGAAATGCTCGAGAGAGGTATACAAAGAAAAGTGGGCAATAAACAGACAATATCGGTATGGCGGGAAAGATGGCTACCATGACAGGGATCAGGCCGAATTCAATCAAGCCCTCCGGCAGGAATTGCTGATATGAATGTAGCCGCACTGCTCAATGAACAAGGAGACCGGTGGAACATGGAAAGAATTAATACTATTTTTTCAGCTGAGGACAGAAGAGCTATCCTGTCTATCCCCATAAGTAGTAGGAGACGACCGAACGGTTTCTGGTGGAATGAAGATAACAGATGAATCTATTCAGTAAAGAGCGGGTACAGAGTACTTCACGGGGAATGCATGGGTCAGGGGTGGTTGGCTGGACAAAAATGTGGAATTTACAAATACCACAAAAAATGAAGTGTTTTGCTTTGCAGATGATGACGGGTTGTCTACCTACCGTAAATAACCTTCGCCGAAGGCATGTGGAGGTAGAAGGAACATGCAAAATTTGTGAAGGGGAGGATGAATAAGAGGAGCATATATTTAAAACTTTCAGGCTAGCTTCCATGGTGTGGAGGAATCTGGGAGGCGGCTTTATCCGACAACGGCGAAATTTTGTTGACTGGATTAATATTTTTTTGATAATTTGCAGGATGATGACTTATGCATTTTTATTGCTAATCTATGGAGCATATGGAAGAGCCGGAATGAGAAAGTCTGGAAGAATCAAGATGCGGTTTGGCGTCAGTGCGTGGAAGTGGGAGCAGCGGTCTTACGAGGATGGAAGATAGCTCAGGAAATGCCTGGAAGCACAGGAAAGGTGACACGTCAGGTGACTGGGTGGAAGAAACCAGCGGAAGGGATCATTAAAATCAATGTGAATGCGGCGCTAGACTTGCAAACTAACAGACGAGCATGGGCATGGGTGACCAGAGATTCACAGGGCAATTTCATTGGTGATGGCTGGAATGTGCAAGGAGCAAGCTGATCAGCGGAGATAACAGAAGCGATTGGAGTACGTGAAATAATAGGATGGGCAAAAACACAGAGCTGGGGGAGAATTGAACTAGAGACAGACTCTCAAGTGGTAGCATCTGGTCTGGTTAACAGGGATGGAGATTCCTATCTGGACACTATTTCAGACGATATAAGACTCACTCTTCGTAATGAAGCTAAGATAGAAGTCATTTACGGAAGAAGATCTGCGAATGTAGTAGCTCATAAGTTAGCTAGGGCTGCTCTTTCTATGTCGGATGGTTTTCATATGTTGTGTACCCCTCCAGATTGTATTACCTCTCAGTTACATACTGAGAGTTTGAGTTGAGTAATGATATAGTTTCCTTTAAAAAAAAAATTTTAGAATTTTTTTACGATTTTTTTACGATTTTTTTGTACAAGTTAAATTATTTTTTTATTATTTTTTGTATTTATTACAAATTAAAATATAATTATCCTAATAAGTTATGGTAATGGTAGAATAGGAAGATAAGGTATACTTTAGTCCTATTTAGGGAAGATAAATAACTACACAGATTCTCAGTTTTTTAAGATACCAATTCTGAGTTTATATAGCATCAAAAGACGTAAATTTATAATTGCCACTAGACATGGCGATAGAGAACAAATTACAACTTAGGAAATGCCTGCATGTAAACTTAAGAAGAGTTAGATGCTTTAGTCAGAGTTGCTGGATAAATGTGTTCAATTACATTAAACAGTCAATTTTTGGCAGAATTTTGAGTGAGACCCACTTCTGATTTGGGTTGGGTCAAAGTGGTTTCGGATTCTCCTTGTTAAGGGCTTTAAGTCTATATATGGTACACCCAAAACGGATAACGGGTGAATGAGAAATTGATTCTAGAAGTCCACACATTGAAATGGAGAAAACTAGGATCCGGAAAATGATGAGTTCTAGTGTGATTTATCCCACACCGAAAAATCTAAGGGACTTTCACCTCTTTATAAAGGTTACACTCTTTGAAAGAGTTAAGATTCCTCCGAACATGAATGTTGTCTGGAAATCTATGGGAAACGGGTCAAATAAGGCCTTCTACTATTACAGAATCTCCTCACAATAAAGCCTTCTGCTATTACGGAATCGTCACAATATGGCCTTCTACTATTACGGAATCGTTACATAAGGTCATGTATTCAATAAAGTGTCATATAAATACGTTTACTTATAAAATGCAATTGGATGAGTCAAAACGATCCGTTGACAACATATATCATAATCCCGACTTTAGCTTACGGGTCATTGTTTTTGTCTTGTATTAAAGCCAATCATGGCCAAATATTTCACATCAGCTTTATAATCTATTTTAAAAAGATAACCAAACGTACGCTAAAATCGGGATTATGAGGTTATCAACAGGTCATTAGGACTCATGTGATTGTTTTTTATAATTAGACGTGTTTATATGACACGTTATTGAGTACATGACCTTATGTGACGATTTCATAATAGTAGAAGGTCTCATTTGACCATTTTCTCAAAATCTATCTTACAAAGATGAGATTTAATTTTAGTTTTGTCGAGTAAAGTTTCTATTTTTTGCTCCAGAACCAGCTCGCTGGCACGATGTTGGCGAATCGTTACAGCAATGAATGCCCAATGTTCCTCTGTCTTAATGCAGCTTTAAATGGCCTAATTGGTGTCCAACGTACTAGTCATTTATGTCCAACGTTAAGGTCCATTAAAACGCACATAACACACAACAAATATGTCTGTATATATAAGTTGACACGTGATTTTCAACAACAAACAAGATATATACACAATATTCACGTAGTTTTCAAGCTAAAACCACCCTCATCTTTAGGAAAGTTCCTTAGTGTTCTTGCTTTGTTTCTGTTCGCCGAAACAACTGATTGTGTGCTCATACGGTTGTTCGTAGCTGTCGTATCCTGGGAAACTCTCGTTGCACAAGCTTTGACTTTTTTGTTCAATCTTTTTTGTATTTTTCTTGGCTATTTTAATTAAGGCTAAAGAGTCAAATAGGTCATCGAACTAACTTAAAAAGTGCAAAACACCCTTTATATAGGAGGTTCTTTCCGGCCATCCTCATTTGGGGCGGTTCCCGGTGGAATTTTTTGATGAAAGATTTTTAGCATCTTCTTCATTATGTCTAGTTTACTCATATCAAATTCAGCTAAAAATTCAATCGGGAAGCCAATCAAATGAATTTTTGAAGATAACTGTGTAGTTAAACAGCGCAGTACATTTCAGAAAATCATTTGACTGTCTTCCCAATTGAATTTTTATCTGAAATTTGATATGAGTAAACTAGACTTAATGAAGAAGATGCTTAAAAATTTTCATCTAAAATTCCACCAGGAACCGCCCCAAATGTCCACGGTCGGACATAACCTTCTATATAAGAGTGATTTGCATTTTTTAAGTTAGTTTGAGGGCCTATTCGACCCTTTAGTCTTTAATTAATTAATTTCTTTATATTTAGATTAAACACACTTTTCACCCGACAACAGTTCATCCAGTAAGGGACTCTTTATCTATAAAAGAATGGAAGCTCGAAGAACCTCAAATGGAGAATTGAGACTAAGGTTTATTTGAATATCTTAACATTGGAGCTCTTGCACAAATGGAGAATAGACTAAGGTTTATTTCTAATATGTACCGAACCTTTGAACATATACGTAGTATTACCCATCACGAGCCGTGATCCATGTACTAATTTGCTCACCTCTAGTTGAACTAAGTGAACAATGTTTGTCAGGTTTATTTCTTCCAAATAAGTAAACCAAAAGCTCTATCAGATGTATTTACTTGAACTTGTTTCGATCACAAACGAGTTCAGTTCAAATCAGATCAGACAAGACTTTGAAAGTTATGTAGTGACCAGACATTTACCAAACCAGATAAGCTTAGACCAGAAAATTTGAGTCCTAAATAAAAATTAGTTACTACCTAACAATAAAAGCTATTGTTTTATTTTGGCTCTCTGCCGCCAATAACTTATGCGCCATTAAGGCATTAACCTACCTAAGATAGCTTTATGGACATATAGTACTCCAGTTAGTTTTGTACACTCTCTCCCTTTATGAATCTATAGCATTTATGATTTTGTCAATTAAACAATTTGTTGATCTGTTGTATCCTATTCAAGAAATGTCGTTCCAATTTCCATCTCAAAAGACAATGAAAGCTCTCCTACAAGAAGGTCTTTCAATGTCTTTTTTTGAAAATATTTCAATGTCATTCTTAAATACGATAGTGATAGTTATAACATGATACGTCTTCTTATAATTTATATAAATGTTACAGTATTGCGCTTGTGGGTTTTGGTAGAAATGATCTCATTTTTTTGGCCTTTTCTTTTAAAATGCTACTTTATATGTTCATTTTTTGAGATTTCTTTTATAATATTGAGTGTGTGATTATACTATGTTCAGCATAACTAAGATTCAAAAAAAAGAAATATGTGTAATAAGAATTATCATCAATTATGTGAATGACATGTGGTAACGTACTTTTTATTCATTAGTTTCAAGGTTAGGTGTGATGCTTTGATTTTTATTTTTTCAATTTATAAACCGGATCATGTGACAATTAATGATCATGTGACAATCAATGATTTATTGGTTTGGACATTGATCCATTGTCCAAATCCACAATTGATCTGAGTTTCAAGGCATTGGATGTTTGGACTTTCAGAGTAGGCCTTCTTTCCCCCCAAATATACCATGACATATTTTTCGGAAGAAATGTACCCCTAAAGTATATGTACATACCACTCTAGCATCTCATATAGCTCCAATAAATCTTCGGTTAGTGACTGCAAAATAATATCACTAACCAATGGGTATGTGCTAGGAAGAACCACAACCCGAGGAGACTCTCTCAGAATAAAAGCTTTATTCTTTTGAATCACATCTTTCCGTTTTGACTTTACCTGATCCTAAAAAATGGTCAGAATGACAGTAACATAGAGTAATTTTGTATTGTTTGATAATTGCAAAGAGTTATTTATTCACCTCTCCTTCAAAAAAAACTAAATGACTAGGCCACTCAACAAATGATCCTATAGCGTCTGTCAACACATATATATCAGCATTTTCATTTGGAACTAAAAGAGGACATTGCTCAAAACCTGTAAAAACCATTGAAACAAAAAACAAACTTAAATAATAATAACATTTAAAGATTTGCATCTCACAAAATCTGTGAACACTATATATGGAAACAAAGGATGACATTTCACAAAACCTGTATAAATCATAGATATGTTAACTTTAATGGTATTAGCAGACATCGGAATATTATGTATCATGGCCCCCGGGGCTGTATTATAAGCCAAAGCCATTGCTACATATTTCAAATCTTTGTGTCCATCTTCTGTTTGTGACTCAACAGCTAGCTTACAGGATGAACCGTCCTATAATTATTTTCAAAAAAAAAGTTAATAAATATTGTAGACATCAATAAATATATATGATTTTAATAATTACTTACAACAAAAAAATTTCGTGGAATAGGTGCGGTGGAGTTCATAGTGTCTGCATCTACTGTTTGAGAATGCGTAGATGGAAATGTGGTAGATTGGAATCCTCTTTGAGCAAAAGCTTTTTCCATATCTTTCATCCACTGATCCTGTAACTTCTTCAAATCAGTATCGCTCAAATTACCAATCTTACGTGAACTCCTCGGCTCTCGCTCAAACACTCTTTTATGCCCCACACCTCTTCCAACACCGCGTACACGTCCAGGATAATCAGGTTTCTCAAATATCTCGGTAAGAATATCACGTCGTCCGTGTGGCTTCCACGTCCCTGTAGCAACATCATCTTGAATTTTATCCTATTACATATAAAAAAAGAGTTACAAAATTTATACGTAAAACATTCTTATGTGAAAAGTTTATACGTAAAATATACTTATGTGAAACATACAAGTTTTTCTTTCTTCTTTTTCATGGCTTCAGTGTTACTCGGGAAAGCTAGTTGTCCATCTGCTGTCAATCCAGATCTAGCACAAAACCAACTCACATGTCTCGGAATGTCATCAGAAGATACGTTAGATTTTGTGGAATCCACTTCAGACTTAGTCAAAAACTGATCTAGTAATCCTTGATCTTTCCATTTCGGTATGGAAAGTGCATATCCGGAGCGACCCATATGGTGAGGGTAAATATTCAGTAACGCAGCTTGTTTGTTTTTATCACTTAATTCCTGCATAAAATTTAAAAAGTATGGAATTCATATTATAAAACAAAATTGAATTCAATAAAATTACATTTGGATTATACCTGAAACTCTGGAGTCATGCTCCTAGCGATAAAATCCTCCCACACATCTTGTGTCAAAATGCCTTTATACTTCACATAAGCT